TCTTTCATGTCGATAAATTTAGGCTGCTGTTCTAAGAATCCTATTTAGCTCTATCCATTCTATCAAGATAACTTTACAAATTTCCATCCTGTTTAGATAACAAGTTTCTTTGAAAATAGAAGACAAGATCAAAACTTTGGAATGGGATGGCACTGAGATTTGAGAGTACATCAGGGTGGAGAATTGAAAAAAAATGAACTTATTTTTGCAAGTTCTGGTTCCTGCAAATTTCTTCACTGAGAAGGACTAGAGAATTTCTAAGAACACAGTCAGCTTTATATCATGAAATGACATTCTGTAATAATTAGAATTGTTATACAAAACTAGAGAAAAAATGCAACTAACAAAAAAATTAATCCTCTCAAGTTCTTTTATATTATTCATTGAGTTGTGTAGGGACACACACAGATGTGTTCAAACACCCCAAATGAGACTATTCAGCCCTTTTTTTGTGGAAGCCAAGTAGACTAAGTGGAAGAAAGTAATCTGTGCCATGTAATTAGAGAGAGTCTACAAAAGGCAATCTAGTAATGTGCATCTATATCAGAAAGTTGGTTTGTTCTAAAATAAACTTGGAAAACAGAACCATATTTTCTCAAGTATGTCTGTACTTCCAAGCAACTATGACCCAAGCAATATCAATGATTTTTTTTAAATTGATTCCTTATAAAGTTGTGTGACATTAACTTTTTTTAAAGACTATTTAGACTTTTAGATTCACAGCAAAATTAAGAGGAAAGTATTTTTCCAGTGTACCTCCCTGCCCCTACACATGATTAACTCTTGTTTTTTAGCTATTATATAGGTACATATCCCTTTCTTTTTCTTTTAGCCAAACATTTTACTATGGGAAACTTCAGTATATGCAAAAACAGAGTAGTACAGTCTACCACTCAGTTAATTATTAAATAATGGCCAGTCATGTTTCTTCTTTATGCTCACATGCTTGTTGCCCCTCACTAGGTTATCCTGAATTACAAGTAAAAAATAATACTTCCTCACATTCATCAAATAGCTAGTTATTTAAAAAATTTCCTCAGTCTTGTCCTCACTGCCTTTTTTATTTTGGTTTCTTTTATCTATATCTAAACAAGATCCATGGGTTATATTTGGTTAGACAACTCTGAGAGGTTATTAATCTATACTTTTCTTCTATTGATTCATTGAAGAAACCAGGTTATTTGTCCTATAGATTTCCTCAGTGTCTAGATTTTTCTGATTGACTGTATTCTTTTGGTGTCATTTAAAATGCTTCTTTGTCCCTGACTTCCTACAATCTGGTAGTTAGAGAAGTTTGGTGCGATTGCTTGCTTGCTTTATTTATTTATTTATTTATTTATTTATTTATTTATTTATTTTTCTGAGACTACTTCCCTGGGTACTGTTAGGCGCTAATATTATGAAGCACATATTCTAGTTTTCTCTTTTTATAATTCTAGTAGCCATCAAGGATCATCGCTAAGATCCTTCTATTGCCATCAGGGGTTTCCGAGACAGTCCCTTGGTCATTTCATCATTCCTATTTGATTAGCTAGAACATACACACATAGAGAGAGATAAATTTTTCCTCATTAACTATTTATTCTGAAATATATTTCATAAAAGGAGAGCAGGTTAAAAGTCTAGGTCTTTTCCTTTATTTGCTAGGGTTCATAATATAACTCTGATGTTTCCAAAAGCGATCACTGATTTTTTTTTTCCCTTTCGGTATCATTACGGATTCATGAACTTTGCTGTTTTAGATGTATTCACTTATTGACAAAAAAATTATCCCATCTTTGGATATAATCTAATCCAGTGAGAAGATTTTTAATATGGCTCCTGTCTTTCATTGTTTTGACATGGCCCTACTCGTCTCTGAAAGACTACTTATTCTATGCCGTGACCCATATGAGAATTTTAACTGAGTATCTTGACTCCATTGTCATTAACATCATTACTTATTTTCATTGTCCCTCAACATATGTATTTATATATACCAATATTGCTAAAAAAAAAAAAAAACTATGACTGAAAACAGGTTAAATTTTATTTTGTCATTATTTTTTGTCCTTTGGACAGTCAAATTATTGTTCTTAAAATCACTTAAAGTAATTCCTCTTTCTAAGCCACTAATTCAATATAGAATTTGGTTCATTTGCTTTATTTTTATTTAGAATTCTTAGAGATTGTGTTTATTTTTACCTAATTCTGTTAAAAAAAAGTTACATAGTTTTAAAGTCAAATCCACAAAATAAGGTATATTCAAAGAAGTCTGTTTTCTCTTTTTCACATTATTCATTTTTCCCTATCTTTCTAAGAAAGTATGTATTCGCCTGTATTAAAATACAAATATCTATTTCCACCCCTAGATAAACAGCAGCCTACTGTTTACATTTTTTTCTACCTACATTTGCCTTTTTTCCCTTACACTACATCCTGGAGATAATTCCATAAAAGTATAGTTTTGCCAAATTACCCTCCACAAATATGCCATTTTACAAATATATATCTAACTGCACAAAGAAAGACTGTATAGAGTGGAATTAAAGACTAAATATGATATAATGTCAATAGATACAAAAATTATCTAAAATACTAATCGCATTTTTATTTTAAGTTACTCTTCCCATTGATAGCTATTCATTATATCATAGCTCTGTCTTGATGGGAGCTTCTGTCACAAGATAATATTTGCTAAATCTAATCCATTATGATTATGCAATGCAAAATTATTGAGATTCAAACACATTCCATTTTTAAAGGACTATTACTAGAAAGCTAGCTTGTTTCCATATGATCTACCTTTTCATTGAAAACGTAATAGGAGTAGAATTTATAAGTGTGTTTGTTGTGCATACCTCAGAGTAGACATTAGCCCTCTTCATCGTAAGCCATAACCTATACGTTATGAAACCATCTCAGAAAGTCACTAACTTTTAGACTAGAGAATAATGAAATTTTAAAACATTGTTTCAAATACTTAGATTTGCTTCTTAATGGTGTCTTATCTTGGATTGATATTGCACTTCTTTGGTTTAATGCTATTGAGTGATTAGCAATGAGATGACTGACAAAACCCAAAGTAATAGTCTAAAGACTTCTTAAACCACTACTCCTAAATCTGCTTCTCTTTATTGATATAATGAGGGGAGAATTAATTTTAAAAGGTGGTGACTATTGATTACTTAATGGCAGAAGATAATGTTGAGAAATGCTGAAGTGAGCCTATTCTGTGCCCTCCTGGGCAACAGGACCCATTATCCAGTGGTGGAAATCATGTTGTAACCCTCATCAATATTTAATAAGCAGGATGCAGGCTGGATGCAGACTGCAAAATTGCCCTAGGCGTAGGTTCCAATAGGCCATCAGAATGTTTCAAGTATATAAAAGAGTAACAGATTTCCCTGTGTTCAGATTGTTTATAAGCAGGACAACAATACATTCAATTCCCTTTTGTGATCTCTGGGCAATGATAGCCTCATGGAAATGCCTACTAGGCAAGTTGAAGTGATTAATGCTCTGGGAAGTCATTCTAGGTTAGTAAGCCCTGCATGAGAAGACTTTGTATTTTCCAGTGTGGTTCTCAGTTTCAGCCCTTCTATTTCTCTCTTCTTGCCACAAGCTGAAGGGCTTGTTCAGCAGGGGTGGCGAGTCAGCAAAAGGCGTTAATTGTGTCTAACACAGCCATCATCCTTGGGGCGATATTACGTATCACATTGTCTATCAAGCTAACCCCTTGTCACACGTCAGGATCTTTTTATTTCAGCTCATTTAAAAGGGAAACAAGGAGTTTTAAAGATAGCTGGTGGGGAAACATGAGTGTAAGAGTGCTTGTAAGAACAATGAACCTTCAAAGCTGACTTAAACTAAACTGTGCTGGGACTTCTGAAAGGACAATACACTTTTTTTTTTTAATACACGGTTTTATAAATTATTGACTCCCGTTGTTAACTTTTCAAATTATCAGGTTATTTTTCAGTACCATCAGCTTATTCTGAAAATATTACCAACTTGGAATGAAATTAAGTTCTTGAGATAGAATATATTCTTAGGATTTATGGGTACTTAAAGGACCTAACATCAGATATTCACCTTTCCAAACAATGTATGAAATAAATGATGATAGTGAAGAAATGTCCATTTTTTTACTCCATGACTCTAAAGATTGTTGAAATGTATTTCAGAGAATCATTTACTTTGTAACATATCAGAATTATTTATAATTACCTGCCTAGAATGAGTTACATATGAATAAAAATTTAGCTTTGTAGGCAAAAAGTATCCAAGGGAACAAGTCTTCTATTAACATATTGAGCTTTTTCTCAAAACCAGTGAATGAAATTGACCCTGAGGTCTCATTGTAATTCCAAGCTAAATGTGGACAAATTCAGTTTTACTTCCAACCTTAGACTGTGCATGCCTAAATGCTACTTTCAATTCATTAATAGCTCTATGGTATGCCTTCTCTTTCTGACGCCAACTAGAGTCTCAAATTATCAAGTTATCAATGATAAACGCATTTGTAGTCACTTTTAGTTTTTTGACAAATATGATCTTTATGAGGTATATCAATAGATTTACTCAGATGTTTGTTTGTTTTTATTTGTTTTGTTGTTGTTATTTATTTGTTAGTTGGTTGGTTAGTAATACATGTCATTCCTTCTTGGAAATTAGTTTGTGGCTAGCTCACTTCAAGAAGGCTTAGGTTAGAATTCATAGATTGTTCAGATGCCATTCCCAAGGGCAGAGGTAGCACTATAAACTGAAAATAATTTAATAGATTTTCTTCAAGGTGCTTAACAATATAACATAAAACTTATGAAGACATTTTGTCCACTGTATTATAATGTTAATCATAGTTATATCTTCAATGCCTTTAGATATTCCAGAGAAAAGAGCTTTTTTAATCTTCTATTTGTAATATATTGACACTTATTAAACCATAATCTAATATATTTAGCAATTTTATCAGTGAAAGTCACAAATCCTAAGTGTCCTTTCTCTTTCCTATTTTATAGCGCAGCAGCAGTTTTGGGAATTTTGATCGTTTTCGGAATAATTCCATTTCAAAACCAGATGATTCAACTGAGGTTAGTATTTTATGAATGTAATGCAAACTCATTATGAAAAATTATGAAGCCAATATCACTTTTGCTAAGTACAGTAAGAAAAATAAGTATATTTAAAAATCACAGTCTTGCCTATATTTTTGTGATAATTGAACAAACAACTACTTAGTAATCAGTACCATGCTGGGTATTAGGGGTAAAAAGTTGTCTAAGAAGCCTAACATGTTCGGAAAAGCAGAATATAAACTGAAGAAGAGAGTTACAATTTAAAGTAATACAAATAATCTCAAATTTTCTGAGCATTTCCACCATAAAACAATCCATGTTAAATTTTATGTCAATTGTAATTGCTTTGATTAATTTAATGATTAAATGACTTAATTGTAAATTTTTTAAAGAGGGCATATGGTTGTTCAATTGCACTCTACTATATGCATTGAAATGTCTCATAGGTGACCATTACATACACATTTACAAACTATGAACACTTTAAAAGTAGCTTAAGGAAAGCTTCCCATACAATAAAGACTATATAATTATAATAGCAATAGTAATAATAATAATATCTACATTTAATTGAACACTAACTATGATATAAGCACAACACTAAACACTTTACCTACCTATAATGTAGGAACTATTAGTATTGTTTTACCAATGAAGTAATACATTTTGTTGAGTAAAGTTACTTCTAAATTACATAGTTAATAAGTGACAAAGGCAGAACTCACCATCTTGTCTGACTCCAAGTTTGCATTTCTGTTGCACTATCTCACAAACTACAGGCCAATCGTGATAAATGATTATTGAAAGGGATATATATTGAGAAAATTCAAAATACATGTTTATCATTGAACCTGATTTAGCAACTCCACATGTGATACATTTGAGATCAATAGGTTTTTGGATCATATGTATTTCTTAATTATTCATTCTTATTATTGTATGTTTATTTTTTGTTTTTTTTGTAAAGATTTTTTCCCATTATCATATTTAATTTCTCAACATACTTCTCAGATTCCTATGTCTGTGTATCTATAATACTTTTAAATATTGGCATTTCAGTAATAGACATTCTAAACAAAAGAAATGAAAATAGAATAACATCAAGTATTACTTTATAAATATATCTGTTAGTACACACATATATGTATGTGTGTAAAATATATCCCCTTTTATACATATGTATATTATTTATATCTCCCTCTATCTGTCTATATATTTATATACACATGCTTATGGATAAACCTATAATAGCTATATAGTCTATCCACATTTTTTTAGTTTTAAATAAGATAACATATGTATATAAATAGTGAGAAACCCTATATAATTTCATTTTCAATTAACATCTTATATAAAACTTTGACTTTCCATAATCACATATAGATATATTCTACTGTTAGTTTATAATGCTAGGGTTAACCTGTAAGAGTAGCTCAGGCTAATTCAGGTTTATTGATTAGTAATGGTGGCTTAATAATTTGTGATAGAATTAATAAATCTGAAAAAGTAGTTCACATGTTTTTTCAGCAATACAGCATCTATTCATTCAACAAGTATTTCTTGAGCACCTACCCTATGACAGAGTTCCCATTAGTTACTCAGAAATTACTATTGCAATAATTGGTGAAAATCCCCACTTAATGAAGCCTAAAGTATAGAGGGAAAAACAGATCTTAGAAAAACAGCAACTGTAAATAAATATCTAATAAAGTTGTGATTCAGGCGATAAAAGAGACCAGCATAGATAAATTTGAAAGTTTAAAATATGCTGAAGTAGTTTCTTTGAAACCTCTACAAAAATTGATAGAAAAACCTAAAAATTAAAAATATTTGTGATACTTGTTTGAAGCTTAGGCAATGGTAATTTAACACAGATAGTAATACAATATACTTTCTTGGCTTATTTATTTATTTTTAGTTTGTAATTTGACAGTGAAGATAGAGTTTATTTAGAGAGAAGAGAGACAAGAAAGGCTAACTTAAAAATTTAAAGAGTCTCCAAGTTATATTTTATTCAGGGTTTTGAATTAAGCAAAGAATCCTTGCCTTTTATAACCTTGAATGTAGAATTTTTTTTTAAAATGTAGAAATTAATGAAGTTCAATGAGGACTTAAATCGGCTGTCCATTCTTATTTATCATAGGTAATTGGGCATAAAATATGAAGCAAAACATAGTATTGATTAATCATTTTATTAACTATGTTGTTAAACCTTTATATTAAAATATTCAAGGAGATCCTGGGTGGCTCAGTCAATTGAGTCCGACTCTGGACTTTGGCTCAGGTTATGATCTCAGTGTGGTGAGATCAAGCCCGTGCTGGGCCTGCTTGAGACTCTCTCTTCTCCCTCTTTTTCTGTCCACCCCCCGCACACACCTTCTTTCTCTGGTATAAATAAGTAAATCTTAAAAATAAATAAATAAAAATTAAGTATTCAAGTTCACTAAAGAGAAGTTTCCCTTTATTTTTTACTTAAAATTCAGGAAATATCTGTCTGCCTACCCATCAAGAACAGTGGGGAATGCTAAAATAGATGCACCTAAAGAGTACTTTCTTGAAATCTAAGATATTAAGGATATGTAACCCAATTATGTCCTTTAAGAAAAAAAATCACTCCAAAGTTCTACATGAGAAGTTTTGCTTATTCTAAAAATATCAAGTGTCAGTTATGTTCCTGGAAGTGTTCTAGACTTTCAGAATAAATAAAAAAATATAAAATCTCTAGTCTTATGGAGCATACCTTACAGTGAGAGATACAGGCAATAATCAATCAAACAAACAAATATATTATCAGGTAATGTTAATTTAAATACCTAGAAGAGGGATCCCTGGGTGGCGCAGCGGTTTAGCGCCTGCCTTTGGCCCAGGGCGCGATCCTGGAGACCCGGATCAAATCCCACGTCGGGCTCCCGGTGCATGGAGCCTGCTTCTTCCTCTGCCTGTGTCTCTGCCTCTCTCTCTCTGTGTGTGACTGTCATAAATAAATAAAAAATTTAAAAAAAATATTAAATACCTAGAAGAATTAGTTACATGTGAATTACATGAAGATTTCTATACTAATGGCTAGACCAAGTTCACATTTACTATTGCTTGAGAATATGGGAAATATGCATGAGGCACTTCCCTGCAAGAAGAAAAAACTGCACTTTCTCAGTGGATTTACTTAACTCCAAAAAAAATTTTTAAATGACCATTTTGGGGCACCTGGGGGCCCAGTTGGTTGAGTGTCTGCCTTTGGCTCAGGTCATGATCCCAGGGTCCTGGGATCGAGCTCCATGTCAGGCTCCCATTCAGTGGGAGCCTGCTTCTCCCTCTGCCTGCTGCTCCCCACCTGTGTTGTCACTCTCTCTCAAATAAATAAATAAAATATTTTTAAAAATGACCATTTCAGGGATCCCTGGGTGGCGCAGCGGTTTGGCACCTGCCTTTGGCCCAGGGCACATCCTGGAGACCCGGGATCAAATCCCACATCGGGCTCCGGGTGCATGGAGCCTGCATCTCCCTCTGCCTGTGTCTCTGCCTCTCTCGCTCTCTCTGTGTGACTAGCATAAATAAATAAAAAATTTTTAAAAAAATAAATAAATAAAATTAAAAAATGACCATTTCAATTTCTATAAGAATAAGAGGATTATTTTAGTGCCCATTCAGCATGAATACATGCTGTCACCTTTCTAAAGCCCCCAATAAAATATCTCCCATTTATGTAGTTTTAAATCACTCATTATGCCAATCATTCAATTCCATTTTGCCCATCACAAAAGTGGGAAAAATTAAAGTGGCTCTACTGTGGAGCTATTTAAAGAATAGCTAAAATTCTTTGAAACAAATTTTACATGTGAAGCTCAGGTCCTTTGACATCACAAGTTTTATTTTCTGAGTTTGTCACATATGTAACCAGGCTTGGACAACTTTAAAAATATGTATTATACCCCAACTGAAGTTTTGGAGGCTGCTGTACACAATATATATGGGTCCAAAAATTTGGAATCTTCTCTTTAATGTTTTCAGATCAATGATTTTTATTATTATTCTGTCTTTTGTAAATAATTCTAACTAGGTATATGAAGGAGAACCCATAAATGAAAGTGGAGAACAAAGTAAAACTTCAAATAATGGAGGGGGTTTAGGGAAAAAAATGAGAGCTATTTCCTGGACAATGAAGAAAAAAGTGAGTAAAAAGTACATCAAAGCCCTCTCTGAAGAAAAGGTAAGCGTACTCTGTTAATTTTTTGTGTGTTTTTCTATTAATTTTTTTCTTAAAAAGGTCAACAGACTCTTCTTCTAGACATAAAATTACTTGGTGCTTTAAAAAGGACTTCAACATTTACTTTCTCCCTCAGTAATTGTGCCCAGAAGTTAGGTAGGAAAACAAAACAAAACATTATTATTCCTATATTAATAGAGGAAATGGGGGCTCAGAAAGACCACACATGTAATATATGAAGAACAGTATGTCATATGTTATAACGAACATCAGTACATCATTTCTTTTTATTGCCAAATAATATCCCATTATATACATAGACTACACTTTATTTTCCCTTTCATCAGTTGATACATACTGAGTTGTTTTCACTTTCTGGCTATTGTAAATAATGCTGCTATGAATATTTAGGAGTTTTTATATGAAAATATTCTTTTGTTTCTCTTGGATATATGGTAACTATCTGATATTTTGAGAAATTGGCAACCTGCTTCCCAAAGCAGTTGCATCATTTTACATTCCCACTAGCAATGTGTGAGGGTTCCAATATCTCCATGTTTGTCAACACTTGTTACTGTCTTTTTGATGCTAGTCTTCCTACTGGGTGTGAAATGGGATTTCAATGTGGCTTTGATTTGCACTTCCCTGATGACTAATTATGTTGAGATCTTGTCGTGTTCTTATGAGCCATTTGTATATCTTCTTTAAAAAAATGTTTACTCAAATCCTTTCCCCATTTTTTACTTTGGTGATTTGGGGGGTTTTCATTGTTGATTTTTAAGCTTTTTAAAAATATATCCTTAATGTAATCAGATATATGATTTGCAATATGATATATTTTCTCCTCTGGATTGTATTTTCACTTTTTGATGCTATCATTTGCAGCACAAATATCTATAATTTGATATAACACAATTTATCTTTTTTTTGTCATTTGAACTTTTACCACTGCACTTAAAAAACTGTTGCTTAAAAAAAAAAAAAGAAAACTGTTGCTTAACCTAAGATTACAAAGATTTACTCCCATATTTTTTTCTAAGAGCTTACAGTTGTAGCTCATAAATTTTGGTGTATGATTATTAATAATTTTTCTATCAAGTGTAGTAGGAGTCCATCTTCATTCTTTCAAATTAGATATCCAGTTGTCACAACATTAATTTGTTAAAAGGACAATTATTGTATTTTCTTGGCACCCCTGTTGAAAATCAATTGATAATAAATACATGGTCATAATTATATGGATCACAAATACTTGGGTTTATTTCTGACCCCCAATTCTATTACATTGATCTATAGGTCTTCATTCATTCTCTTTTTAACCCACTTCAGTAGGACTTCTGTCTCCAATAATCCATTAAGACAGTAGTCATAATCAGTATTGACCTCGGTGTTGCCAAATTTACTGATCACTTTTCTTTCTTCTTACATTACTTTTCGACTGTATTTGACACAAGTGATGATTTCAACATATATGAAACATTCTTTTTCCTGGTTTAACTGGGCATTCTTCTGATTTTCTTTCTTTCTAAGAATTTTCTTTCCTGGCTTTGCTTTCTTGCCTGTCTCTCTAAATATTGAGAGTCCTCCTGAGGCTTATTCCTAGATGCTTTACTCAATCTACGCTCCCCCTCAGTGATCTCATCTAGTCGCATCACTTTTTTTTGAAATTACATTTCTAGCTATGTATGACATCTTACCTGTTGTACTTAAACAACCAATTGTGTATTCAATATCATTGCTTAGATATACAATAGCTATCTGGAACCCAATATATCCAAAACTGAATTATTAATTCTCTGTGCTCGACCAAAAGCATGTTTCTTGTCCAGTCTTCCCAGTACTGACAACACTGCCATAACTCTAGATGCAAGGAAGGAAAGAAAAGAAGAGAAAATAATAAAACAGAATAGAAAAGAAAAGGAAAGAAAAGAAGGAAGTAAAGAAAGAAGAAAGCCTAAGAATCATTCCAAATTCTTTTTTTCTTTCACTTTTCACACCAATTCATAAGCATACCCTCTTGGCTCAAACTCCAAAATACTATCTAAAGCCCCTAATTTCTCCATGTAAACTATTCTTGCTTTAGACCAACCAACCAATTAACCAAGAACAACAACTTGCCTACACTGCCATGATAACCACCTAATTGGTTGTCTTTCTTCCACTCTTGCCTCCATTAAAGCCATTCTCCACATGAAATCCAGAGAGATTTAAAGGGGAATTTAGAACACATCATGTCCCTTGGTTAAAATTTTACAATGCTTTCACAATGCATTCCCATATTATAATAGATTTATTCCAATCCTCTAAGAAGCAGACCATAAGAAAGCAATGGATACACCAAAGATTATCAGGGAAATGCCTGTGAAGGATAAAGAAACAAGAATTGATAGGGAAGCCTTCAGAGAACAGTGCAAGTTTGACACCTATGAAAGGAGAGGAAGAAAGCTTTAGCCAGGTTGGTAGATAGTCTTTGAACCAGTTTTTCATTACAGCCCTATATCCCACCAGAAAGTTACCCCCACTGGTTCAGTCATTGGCAGAGAGCATGGCTTCCATGCAGGCACAGAGCTGGATTCAGTAGCTAGGACTGTTACTAAAGAAGGGTCTCGCAGCAAAAGATCTGAGTGACACATTCCCATGACCATCACACATGGTCTATAAAGCTCTTCCTAATCTGGCTCCAGTCTGCTTCTCTGAGCTCATTTCCTAATACTGTCCTTGCTCTCACTCAGCTGCAGCTGCATTGGCTTGGCCTTTCCATTCACAACCCAAGCTAATTCTGAGTTTAGTTATTTTGTTCCTGCTATTCCTTTTACTTGGAAAACTGCCTCTAAATGTTTACATAAGTTACATCTTAACATTCAGGTCAAGAATTCAGAGCATTATTATGGTATAGAGGAGGTCTTTGGAGCCTACTCCATCTAAATCAGCTAACCTTCCCCTAACCCTAATCCTAGAAGCTCATCCTCTCACATCACTCAGTTTTATTTCTTTCATAGCACTTATTCCCTGAAATTTTCTTTTGCGTTTTGTTTATACACACCTCCTCAAACACTAAACACACATACATATACAAACACCAGAGCCTAACACACTAAAATGTATCTTATGAGAGGTGGGAACTCTGTGATCTTGTTTACTATGTATCCCCAGTTCCCAAAACAGTGCCAGGTACTTACAAGGTGTTCTGTAAACTTGTGTTGAGTGACTGAACAAATGAATAAAGGAATGGATAAAAGCAGAGAATCAAACTGAGTATATATATGTATTATGAAGTTTTATCAATGTTTAGAAATGTTCATAAATGAGGAATATTGAATTACATTTTCATGAATATTAAGAAATTTATAGGTTTTGTTCAAACTATCTAAATATGGAAGACATTTGAGATGTTTTCAAGCAGATGTAATTTGTTTTGAAATTCTCTGTCTTTCCTAATTTTATGCAGGATTTGCTTTTCACTTGACTAGGTGTGCAAGCTCAGTATGAGATTTGTAAAGCTTCTTAGATAAGCTTTGCTTTAGAATTGCAAAATGTGCATGTTTTATTCATATCTAGTGATCTGGTAGGGTGCAAATAACTGACATGAAACAACTATGCAGAATTTAAACTTGTAATATCAGATCTCAAAGGATTAGTAACGGTGGTAAATAGATGATAAGGAGAACATGAAGAAATAAAAGTGCTTTAATAGATAAAGCATAGATGTTAATAAATCTAACATTTCTGATTAAATAGTCTGGATATGACATTCATCCTAATTTACAAAATGAACTATTATAATTTCAGTTGAATTCCATAATGTGAATGTTTCATCTAAAGAACTTTTCCAAATATAACATGTTTTGCTAGAAATTCAACTAAAGATTAATGATTCTCATATTTTATGCTGATGTATTCCTAAGTATTTTATTGCTAAAATATGTCTTGTTTGTTAAATCAATGCACAATATCCATGGAAATCAGTTCTCTGCACTTAACCTCTGATACATTTTTCTGAAGGATGAGGAAGATGGAGAGGATGCTGTCCCATATCGGAACAGTGACCCAATGATTGGATTTCACACAGAGAAGATCTCTCTTAAAGCCAGTGACTCCATGGATAGTCTCTACAGTGGGCAGAGTTCATCAAGTAAGCCTATAGAATATGGGACAAGATACTAACTGGGAGGGCTGAATTAACTAAAAGCAGTAGATTTTAACTACAGAGAACAAACTGATGGTTACCAGAGGGGAGGTAGATGGAGAGATGAGTGACGTAGTGAGGGGGACTAAAGAGTGCACTTACTGTGATGGGCACTGTGTAACGCAATGTATTGAAATGTTAAATCGCTATACTGCACACCTGAAACTGATATAACACTGTATGTTAATAATACTGGAATTAAAATAAAAAACAATAAAAAAGAAATAAATTCAAATGAAAACCAACAACAACAGATTTGCTTCTGTGGGGCTTATCAAATTAACAAAAAATGTTTTGGCTACTTGATAAGAGAAATAGTGAAAATGTAGGATTGCTGAATCCATAGAGTTGCTGCTGTTGTTTAAAATGATACACAATACATCCGATAGAATTATGTATTATTTTGAAACTTTTAAAACTGTAGTCAGCAGGGGTCTTGGGAATATGCCTTAAAAAGATCATGTTAGGTGACTAAATCTATATCCCTAAAATAAAAACATATGCTTAGGAGAACTAGCATTATCTTGGTCAAAAGTTTTTAAATGACTTGGTGTATTCAGGTAAATGAAAACCTGTTCTCTCTCTTCTTCCATCCCACCCTTTCTCCTTCCTTTGCCTTTCTTTAATCCTCCTTTTTCCTCGTTCCTCCTTCTCTTCTTCCTTCTTTCTCTCCTCCCTCCTTCCTTTCTTCTCTTTCTTTTTTCCCTCTCCTGTTGTCTCTCACTTCTTTCCTTCCTTTTCATTCCATTTTGCCTGAAGTACTCTGAAAATATCAAGACATACGCATCAATCATGACATTTACTTTTTAGGTGTTCACCCAGCATTAGTGAGTAAAGAATGAAATACTATGTAAATACCAAATAGAAGGAATATCATCAATTAGGTGACAGAAAGGAAGCAGCATGTGTCAAACAGGATTTTCTAAAATCATTGTTTCTAAGAAGGAAGTCATTCAGGTTTCAGTCACATATCCTGCTATGATATTTGGATGAAACTACTGATACGGCAGGGTGCCTTATAACTTTTTTATGTGTACACTGTTATACATCCCTCTGATATTTTCAGGGCTTTTACATGTTTTCTTTTTTTGCAAAGTTTATTTTTCATTTCCTTTTAAATCAACTGTTTCCGTTATTTGAAGATAGATCGCAAAGACCAGATGTTTCAGATATCCTGAATTTTATTCCTATTGGCTGGAGAACAGTTATTTTGTGGGAAAAAAACTAATGTAGAAACATTTGAAGGATATATTTTTGCATGTGTGAAATTCAGATTTCATTAGTATTCACTTCTGCTGGAAGTTTTAAAATTCTAAATTGTAATGCTGAATGTGGATAGAATTTTACTAACTGGAATGTACCATGAAAAGCCAGGGCCAGGGGTGGCCACGGAAGGGAAGGTGTAAGGAGATGGTGGCCCATTTAGCTGTTGTCATGTACAACTTAATTTATGAGATTACATGCAGCTCACCCTTTCTCATACCGGTTCGTACTCAATATGGAACATCTCTAAGGTTCTTTCCCTTTTTCCATAATTATTTGAATAAATGGTAGAGAAACCAGGGCTGTTTTTGCCATAAACAGAGCACTGAAAGGCCAGATGGAAGGAGAATTGTGAGTGGTGGAGAAACTGAGAGTTACTTCCGCTCAGAGCTGTTCTTGCCTCTATCTTGCAGGCAGCAAAAATGGAATTGCTTTTCCTTTTTTTTCTCTTGAGGTTCAAACTTAGAAGGGAAAAGGACCAGAGAACAAGGATTTAGAGCAGTTTTAAAAGCCCAGTTTAGAAAGTTTAGAACCACTTGGGAGTACAGACCCTGGAACATGCTTCCTCTTTCCTTCACATTCACACAACAAGCAAAAGTGCTACCTTTCATGCATAGAGATCTTGCTTCACAATGGATTTGGATATATAATAGGATATTTGGGACAACATTCTAGCTACGTTGTGATAAGTGTAGGGAACCCTATAGTCTCATGCTTTGACCACTTGTGATCAGTAGCACATAGAGATCAAACTGTTGCTGTATGAATCTGTCTTTGTTTACAGGTACAAAATTAATTGTCTGGCCTGTACATGGAGTTAAGTCTATATTGTCTACCTTTTTAGCAAGTGTTTAATCCTCAAAACACTGTGCTACTGGATCAGATCACAGAGACTGAAGTGACAGGGTATTTGGGTTCGTGGTTGAGGAAGGGTCAGATTGGCTGGAGAAAGTTCAGAAATGGCTCAGAGGACAGAGGTCACTGATGGAGAGTGACTACGAGGCAGAAAGAATAGGGATCCATCACTTAGAACCCTCTCAAAAGTCTTACCTCCAGTGCTTCAGCATTATCCCTGCTTAGCTCTATGCAAACGATGGTTCAGAATGTGAGGAGCTTTCAGTGAGAACTGTTTAACCTCTGCTTTGCCTTCATTAGGCGGAATAACAAGCTGTTCAGATGGTACAAGTAACCGGGATAGCTTTCGACTTGATGATGATGGCCCCTACTCTGGACCATTCTGTGGCCGTGCCAGAGTACATACCGATTTTACACCAAGCCCCTATGACACCGACTCCCTCAAAATCAAGGTGTGTGCACATCCTATCTGCATGGCTGTATGGCTTGTCTAGTGCTGGTTGTATGATCTGTGTCAGGAAGCGCAAGCACTGGGAAGTGGGGGAGTGGGGGTGGTGAGTATGTTCTTCCCAGCCTTAGAACTGACAACTGGGTTATGGCGGCAAGAATTTGAACAAAACATGAGAGGTGGGATAGGGGAATCAGTCTGCTGAGGCTACAGCATAAGCTGCTCTTACGTAGGTAATGCAGAGTCTGAACCTATCAGGGGAGAAAAAATTGTCTACATTTTTTTCTGTAAGCCTAAAGTCTAAAGTCTCACAGGTTACTGGAGGTGCCTGGCTCTGCCTGATTCTTTGCTGGAGTAAAAGGAGAAAGAGAAAAGATGGTGATAGCAGGCAAGAGCCCCTCACAGCACCTCCCTTGGGAACCAGACTTGGCTGGGCAATTTCAGTACTTAAGTTGGTGGCCATGAATAACCAGACATCTTTCTCCCAATGATATTCCCTCCCCAGTTCCCTCTTTTTTACTCTTATTCTCTATATTCATTTTCTATTGCTGTGTAACAAATTTCAACAAACTCAGGGACTTTAAACAAAACAAACATACTACCTCACAGTTCTATGGGTCAAACATTTTGGTCATGGCTCAACTGCATTCACTGCTTAAGGTCTCACTGGGCTAATATCAAGATGACAGCTGGGACTGTGATCTCACCTGGGGCTCAGGGTCCTATTCCAAGCTCATGGCTATTGGCAGAATTCAGTTGCTTGTGATTGTAAGACTGAGGCTCCTGCTTTCTTGCTGGATATTGCCTGGGAGCCACTCTCAGACACTGAAGGTTGCCAGCCATGATCCTCTGTACAACATGGCAGTTTGCTCCTTCATAGCCTGCAGGAAGAAACGCTCACTCATGTTTCTAATCTCTTTATTTTTAAAAGCTCCTACCTGATAAGTCAGAAACACTCAGATAATCTCACACTTAATTACAAAATTAACTAATTTGGGACATTAATTACATTTGCACATGTCCCTTGTGGCATATAATACAACATAATCATGGGTGTGAAATCCATCACTTTCATAGTCCTACTCATACTAAAGGGAAGGTGCTGTTGCAATTGTGCTAAACTATTTTATACATGTTAAATTATTCCTCTGAGTAACACAGGCTGATATAGCTAAAAGGACAGAAATTATGACTTTTCTATACTATCAACACCAGGCTAATGTTAACCAATAATTATATAAGTTATGAAGTATTGGTGCTATTATTTAACATTCAAGACACTGCTCTTCTCTTTATCCCTTCTATTGTAACAAATCAGAGTAAGGTCAGAGAATGAGGAAAACATTATTCTTGATAGTTAGCTCCTTAGTCATTTCTACGAATTGATTTGAAGTCTAAGTTCAGGTCTTGAGGAAGGAATGTTTGTAGCCTAGTAACCATTGTTGGGGGTAGAGTGTAGAAGGGAATAAATTGAACACATTTTGACTCGGGATAGCTTTTCGCCTTCCCTATAATATCACGCCAGTGCACCACCATTTATACTGCCTAAGATGATATTTGTAGAGCTCTTGTAGGACACAATAAGAATCCCACAGTTACCACTGAGGATTGAATGTTATGGTTTATATCAAGGGTCTTATCCACAATGAAATTGGTCTTTGCTTGGTGACCTGTGGGCTTTCCTGGAATGTATACTTTTTATAAGTTTAGAGGATAATAGGAAGGATGCAGCAGAGAGCTCCCATGCTTAGAAACTTCCCCTAGAGCTTCTGGGGATTTTCTAGGTCTGCTTAGCTTATCCCATCTAGCCCAGGATTTGATTCCCTATAGTTAAAGGCAGGAAGAATTAGATGAAAAGCTTATAGGGTCAGACCAGTAGACGATCAGAACTCAGAAAAACAAATCTTTTAATCACATTGAATCCTACTATTAAAAATACAATTTGTGTTTTAGATGGAAGAATACATATTCATAGAACAGGCAAAAAAGATATTTTTAGTAGCAAACTAAATGTTTTGTTTGTTTGAGGGTAGACCCCTCAAATGACAACAACAACAAAAAAATCAGAATCTATAATTTCCTCTCTGGGGTAGAAACTTTTAAGTCTCAAAGGAGGAAATATGACTTTTAAATGTAGGCACTGTATTTACATAGAAATCAATTTTCTTTACAAAGATGTACCCTTGTTGGTTTTCTACTCTTGCCAGTAACTGGCAGCCAGTAGCCAATTAGAATCTCAGATGTGAATAAAGAAAAAGACCAAAAAAAAAAAAAAAAAGAAAAAGAAAAAGACCAATTGGTTTGTCCATCCTAATGTGCTTCATTCATACTTCCATCCAAACTTCGTTGTGAAGCTCAATCTAAGTATTTCTTCTCTAATAATATTAATAATTCAGTAGCATAATTTATCCTTAGTATACACATACTTTTGTTACATATTTAGATCATACAAACTTCTTAACAGTTTCATTATTTTAGATGAATGCAATACTTTAGATGTCTTTGTTTTTGTTTTTACGCAGATAAATTTTTCAGATGAACTAGAAGCATGGACAGAGATAGACTTCTTTTTCTTTCCCTTCCCTATTTGGGATTCTGTCCAGGAATGATGGCTTGAACTTTGCTATATATTGATTGCTTTGACAAAATGAATGAAAAAAGCATCATTCTTGAGTTCAGACAACTGCCATGAGTTCTGGAAAGTTATTTAATGTTTGTATTTCTTTTCTATAATATTTAGAGTAATAATGATACCTTGTATATGTACCTAAGTAGTGTGTTATAGGCATAAAATGACTTACTATAGGCAAAAGTATTTTGTAAATTCCATTGTGCCCTATACATTCATAAATTGATATACCAAAGACATAAAGACATCATCAAATGCATGTAAGAGCTTTTCTTCAAGATTGCTGAAATTTTCCTCATTATTACTAGTGAATAGTTCCCTTGGACTTTTAAAAGAAATTTTCTCTTAGATTTATTTCTGTTATCAGTAACCTCCCTTGTCATATTCCCGCATTATTCTAATTTTCTAGGATTCCATTCTTTTTACTAATTGTCACAACACCAAAGTTCCTGAAAACTCTTTTGGTATGTTTCTTTGTTTTTTAGAAAGGAGACATCATAGACATTATCTGCAAAACACCAATGGGGATGTGGACAGGAATGTTGAACAATAAGGTGGGAAACTTCAAATTTATTTATGTGGATGTCATCTCAGAAGAGGAAGCAGCCCCCAAGAAAGTAAAGGCCCACCGAAAGAGTGGAAAGGAAAAACCCAAGACTCTGCAGGAGTTCTTAGAGAGGATTCACCTTCAGGTTAGCAAACCTGTGACCTATTTGATTTTGGTGGCATCTAGATGGAATAACTGAGGAAAATGGATTAATGTTTGTATAGTGTTTAAAAATATAGGACTTACGGGGAACCCTGGGTGACTCAGCGGTTTAGCGCCTGCTTTTGACCCAGGGCATGATCCTGGAGCCCCAGGATCGAGTCCTGCATCAGGCTCCCTGCATGGAGACTGCTTCTCCCTCTGCCTGTGTCTCTGCCCCCATCTTTCTCTCTCTCTCTCTGTCTCTCATGAATAAATAAATAAAATCTTTAAAAAAAAATTGGACTTACAGCAAAGGAAAATCTGTTTTCCAAGAAGACTTCTTATTTCTCTTTTATTACTTTTATTATGCAAGGACAAGTCTTGATATAACATCCCTTGGACTAAACTCTAATGGTACTTAGCAGTGACAGTAGAGATTAATGTTGAGAAAATGCAGTGAAAAATGAAAAATACCTAGGAGAATAAAAGGCCCAAAGAAAACAAGTAAATGAGAATGACAGAATATGAAGAGTAAAGGTAAAAATCCAGAGAACTGAAAGGAAAAATGGAAAGAAAATTACATTTTCTATAGGGCAGAGATCAAAAGCAAGTCAAGAGAAGATAACTAAACATAATCGTTTCAAAAGCAATTTCTTAGGAAATAGTGATCATTAAGCCCCCATGATGAGTGTGCTAAGGAAACTGTGTTGTTTATATTTATAATCCAATTATTTTCTTGTTACATTAGCAAAGTTTTTATGAAATATCTACCTTGTTAAATGGTGTGTACATACAATTTACCTAGCCTCACTCAATTAACTGTTTTGTAATCCATTTCTAATATTAATGCAGCAGTACTTTGATAGTTTTCAAAATTCATCAAGGGTTGCCTTGTCAAAGCCAATTAAACTCTCCTTAATTGTTTCTTCTGAATGATCTAGTTATACTCTTGTCTGTAGACACACTACCCAGGCCTTCCTATATTTCTACTGGCGCTGCCCAAATAGGGTACTGCTTGGATCAAGTATAAGTTTAAGCCCTGCTTCTTCTTTTTGTTTGTTCTATGACCTATGAGAAAACCAAGGTCTAAGGAAGTGAAATAACCATGTCAGGAACCCACAACAAGATGGTTATGTTAGATGGGAATTTTGGTTTCTCTGCTCTAATTCAGTGCTCCTTTAACAGACATTATTTTTAAAAGAAGTAGTACTTTCTCTCTCTCTCTCTCTCTCTCTCTCTGTCTCTCTCTCTCTCTCCCTTTTTTTGTAAAAAGGGGCTGGTAATTCTTCCTGATTACTTAAAACTTTTATGCTTCCTCTTATTCAGTTTTAGTAACCAAACTAAGGATATTGAAATTATGATCAAGTAAAATGGAAGAAAATTTTGAGGAAGCTGTAAAGCATTCAACTTCACTTTGCATTTTTATTCTGTTGGAGAGAACAGAGGTTACATAAATAACATACAGACTCAGAAATCAGAAGCCTATGAATTTTAAATTAATATATATTGATGCAAATGATGGACAAACTATACATGCTGAGAAAACAATACTTTTCCCAACCACAGTGCTTTTATGCTTAATAAAAACTTTTAATAGAAAGTCTAGAATTCCTTAGTTTTATATAATGACTTTCGCTAAATGCTAAGTCTATTTTTTGGTTCTTGTTTCAAATTCACTTTTTAAACTACCCCAAGAAGTTAGTGAGGGTAAATATTTTTGTAAGCAAGCAAAAGAGAAAAGATGTAGATTCAGAAATATTACTATAATTACTCTTTTAGAAGCATTTTATTGATAGACGCAAGGACACGCTAGCTTTGTCAATTGAGCTATTTGAGAAGTGAAAAAGTGCCAAATGGGATGAATGATCCAGCTATTTAATTGATCCATGATTTAGCACTGCATGGCTTAAGGTAATTATTTCTTCTTTACATTTGTCCTTCCAAAAGGTGAGAATTCTACAACATATTCTTTTAAATGCCCTAGAGTTCATATGTGGAAAACTAGTACAAAGTAAAATAAAGTTAAGCAAAAGTTCTATCAGTGCTTTTCGTTTCCATATGCACTCTACAGTTTCTTTAAATCTAAAGAGAACTAAAAATAAAATACTTGAATCTGACTAGTTTGTATTATATATATTTTTTCTTCCCCATAGGAATATACCTCAACACTTTTGCTCAATGGTTATGAGACCCTAGAAGATTTAAAGGATATAAAAGAGAGTCATCTCATTGAATTAAACATTAAAAACCCAGAAGACAGGATGAGATTACTATCAGCTGCTGAAAATCTCCTTGATGAAGAAAGTAAGTGTGCATACCTACTTTTCTCCCTAGCTGAAAATCACAGTTCAGTATAGATAGTAAAATTATTAAAAACAAAGCTCTGGTTTTATTTATGGAGAATCATATAAAGTATTCGTTCCCATAAAATACATTTTTTCTTATATATTTGGAAACAATAACCCCAGTCAAGTCTATAATTAGGAAGAGGACTTTTTTTTCCCTTATTGGACTCAGAAAATGAAGGGACTTTTCTGGGCATCTCATTTAGATTCTGCAGAGCTATTAATTTACACACAAGTGGATGTCTGCATTCTCAGAGACTGAGGAGTTAGAGACAAATATTTAGTGACAGCATGAGCCATTAGTGAGAAATGTCATATGCAACTTCTGTAGAACAGCGCAGAGCATGGCTCTAAGCTAATGAGCCTTCGCACCACACAGGAAAATTCATTTCATTACCATATAGTCACATCTTGTATGTGTTTATAGTATTCTTTCAAAATGTTATAATAGCTTGCAAAAATATTCAGCACTCACTTTTATTATCTGAGATGATTCTCTGTATTTGTAAGTGTAAACTGAAGATGGAGTAATGCATACACATTCACTTACCAACTGGGTTTGTAAAGACTGGATAGCTTTTGTTTTTACAGTTGCACTCAATCTGAATGTTCTTCTTACTAAATCTGGTCAGGCTTCTAAAACCCTGAGCTCAGGAGGTACCAAACTCCACAAGTATTTTGTTAGGAAGAAAGAGGGACGTAGTGACTTTTAAAGATGAAAAAGAATTTAGATCATCTAATCCAACTTTCTCTTTCAAAAATAATATTACTCATAATAATTACTATTTTTGAACATGCTCTCAGAGTGAAACTTTGATCCAAGATCTTTACATTGTCTTCATTAACATGCTCCACAGTTTTGTGAGTTAGACAGTACTGTTCTGTGTTGTTGTTTTTTTTTTAAGATCTTATTTATTTATTCATGACAGAGAGAGAGGCAGAGACACAGGCAGAGGGAGAGGGAGAGGGAGAGAAGCAGGCTCCATGCAGGGAGCCCCACGCCGGACTTGATCCTGGGTCTCCAGGATCATACCCCAGGCGGAAGGCACCAAACTGCTGAGCCCCGGGGCTGCCCTGTCCTGTGTTTATAATGAGAAATTGAGAGATAAGTAACTTGTCCAAGCTCACACACACAGTAAATTGTGAAGAGCCAGGACCAGTGTTTGTGATGTTACTATACTTTCTACAAATAACAGCCCAGATGGAGAGCAAGGAAGAAAGTTGTGTTTAGGACCCAGGCCTCCTGACTGTCACTTAATAGCTTTTCCTATATCTTGTCTCATATGCTACGAAATGGGCACAGTTGCTCAGCACGTGTTTATACACTGGCCTTTTATCTAGTAGGAATAAATTTACTTTTCTGGAAACTGCATCTTACTTCATTCTTACTTGCTGTCCTGAGTTTGCATAGATCTTCATCCTTTTCTTTTTTAAAAGATTTTATTTACTCATAAGAGACTGAGAGAGGCAGAGGGACGATCAGGATCCATGCAGGGAGCCTAACATGGGACTCAATCCCAGTCTCCAGGATCAGGCCCTTGGCTGAAGGTGGCGCTAAACCGCTGAGCCACAGGGGACTGCCCTTTTCAAAGAGTTTTCACATTTAAGACTAATTTGACACCTGCAGAATTTATTTCATCTTAGGCCCAGGTGATTATATGCATCCTTTGAAGTTGTGGAGGCTGGGAGGGAGGGCTGACATCACAGAGGTAGACAAAGGTCAACCTTAAGAAAATTGGGTATAAACCCAATTTATACCCAATAAGACAAGCCAAAACAAAACTGATCAGTGTAAAATGATGTAGCGTATCTTTGGGGTAAATGACAGTTTCTTTCACATCTTGTCATTTCAAAGCGTGGCTCCTCACTAAATAATGTGAAGCTAAGAAATTAGATTCTGTAGATTTCTTGTAATTGATAATGTCCAATATCATTGTCAATACCCTCCAGAATAATTTGATGTTGAAGTATAGGGAGGGAAAAGGGTATTTTTTGAGCAGTTGTAAATACATTGCTTTTCTTCTATAATACCATCTGTATAGGTAATTTGTCCATTTCACAGATGAGAAGACATTTCAGAGATGAATTTCAAAGAGGCCAAAAACAGCTAGATAAGTAACAGAGCTGGAGTTTTAATCAAAGGCAGCCTGCTATAAAAATCCAAGTTCTTTCTTCCACACATGCAAACTGGTAAATATAGAAAGAACAATGAATATCTGAAAATTGAAGTTTCCTACTATGCCAATTTTCTCAGGAGCTTCAGTTCAGTTTTCCATCTCAGAAAGTAGAAGTTAGTATGTGAGAACAGAAATCTTGCAACATTACTGCCTGAAAAGTGTAAGGCAACATTGGCTGCATTGCACCAGGATTGGTGAATAGGGAAGGGTAAGAGAGCCTGGGTGAAAAAGGTTTCTAGCCATAAAACAGTGCTCAGTCTGGACCCACAGTGGGACAATCCATCCAGTGCAGAAGGCTTGGGCTGTGCATGGTGTCCACCTAATTTCTCCATTCCACCTCCCTGTCCCCCATCTGCTTTCTATGTTAATGAAAGAATAATAATGTACAGATAACATCATATGAGAGCAAGCTGTAATTTGAAAAACCATCTGGCCCAAATGTTTCCTTTGCAAGATGGAGAAACTAAAACTAGAGTAGCTAAGTCGCTTTCTCAAAGTCACATATCTAGAACCTGGTCTCCTTTATCTATTAGAAACACATTCTACTATACCCTGGCAACAAAACACAGTATCTCCAAAGCATGATGTGACTTCCAACATTTGATATAAAAAAGCACAAGTTTCCACAAGTTATTTCCCTTATAAGGCTTTAGAAAATGGTATTTGAAGGTCACTAGAAGTTGATCACTTAATAATAGCCAGTAATGCACAAACATACACTGAGCCAAATTCTGAGGGATGAAAAATAGAAAAAAGTGCCGATGCAACCAGTGTTTGTTGTCAACACACAACCCTGAAATTTTTCTTATTTTAATCTTACGGTCTAAAGTAGTACTAGAATATACATGTCAAAAAGATGCATATTGCATGTTAGGCTATTTTGACTGAAAGCTATTTATCTTATATGAAACTGCTTTGCTCAATAAATAAAGAAGAATGACTTCTATTTGTTGATAAGATGGTGGGTTCTGATGATTCGGCACCATGCTGCTGCATGCATGCTTATTTTTATCTATTCTCTATTCTGTGAATCATATCTCCTACAACCATGCTAGAGATTAAACGCACAACCTTCATGTACCTTGAATGATAAAGACCTTGAATATATGGTTATGTAAAACTAAGATATTATTAAAAACAAATGCATGTCACAGTCATAGGTTAAAAAGTTAGCTGTGTGTGTAAGAATGGAACACGCAAATTGGCCAGGATTCTATGTATGCATTTTATCTTGATCATTGAATAGTAAGTTTGGGGAATGTCAATAAATTCCTAGTTTAAAGTTTCATTGCTTCTTAGATTGGGAACTGGAAAGTTTTGCTTTACTAACCTTTCAATATAAAAATTGCGGAGAGTGGACACCCATTTTGAAGATAAGAGTTAAATCTTCGAAATGATGTAGGAAAAACTACAAGCCCCATGTGAGCCTTTAATACATTTAGAGGGACCAAGAGGATGGGGGAGTGGGACAGGGACAAAAACAGAAATCTAATACTCAGAACAAGCAATTTTCCTTTTCTCTTAGGCCAAAATAGATAGCATTGTACCCACTCTGACCTTGAAAATATAAACTGGATTAAACTTTTTAGGTCACTGCTTGACAGGAGGTAAAGGTGTTTCTCCTACAAGCTGATAGAAGGACTGGTGAGTGGTGTTAGCACTGATTACAGGATTACCTCTGGAGTAGGATAACGACTTTGGGGTTCTGCAATCGTGCCAAGGCCAATACCGAGATATTCTGAATTTGTTCCCGTGTTGCATTAGAACTGAGCAGAATTAGGTCACCGGCTCCCTCAGCTGGGAGTCTAGATGAAGTTAGAAGAAGAAAAATTGGGGTGAGCCTCGGCTTTTGAAGGAGCAAAAGAGCAGAATCTGTTTATTTGGTGCACGTTAGGATTTCTCTATTTATCTGAGTTTTAAAACAGCTCGTTTGCTTTGAATAAATATTCTCAGTAAGAATAGAGAATATGAATATGTGTTTCTGTGTGTGTGTTGTTCATAAACAATCTTCAGGACCTCTTTGCCTTGCTAATAAAATGCCTCTTGCAAATAATAAAAGAGTTAACTTCTATCTATAGTAAATATTTTCTCTTTATTCTGAACTTGTTCCTCTTTTCCTGCATTTGGAGGCACTTTGATGTGTCTTAAAAGTGCGTCTATGAGAATGTGTACTGTTGTCCTCAGGAAAAATGGGTGATGGAAATATCTTGTTCTCCCTACAGCACAGGAATAATTAAATTTTAAATTGGAGGAAAAAAAACCCACAACTTAGTAACTGAATAAGCAGACAGTACCAGAAGCTGTGTATCATATATTTTAGGTACCTGCAACCTTTGTTTGCAGTGTGCAATGAAGAGGACAGGGGGAAGGGTAGCTTGTGTGCCGGGCTGTTGGCACCAGCTGTGGTCACAGCTGCTCCACATTGCACAACTATCCCCAGTTGCGCCTTCCTGCCTGCCTACCTGCACAAAACGATGCAGGGCAAGAGGCAAGTCCCAGCTAGGAGCCTGGAACATGAGCTGCCAGCAGGGGAGATTTGTAGTGATGCCAAGCAGCAGTCCAGCAGTTGGCCTGACAGCGTGCCAGGGTAGCCTGGTGCCCTAGCCCCTGACATGCATGCCTGGTGTTTCCAACCCACTTGCCATATGATTTGAATCTAGATTCAAGAAAGGTACAGGTTTTAAGAAATATATGCCAACCCTACACATATACACAGTACAGAAGGCACACAGGCATTTTACTTTTATGTATTTATAAATATGCATTTAATATATATTTCTAG